GAGCCATGGAATTACAGAGCTTGCAAAAGAAGGGGTATCTAGCCACAAAACCAACAAAAATTGACTCAACCTTCTCTCCCTAGCAACTCATCTTCTCCAGTGAGCCTAAGTGGGTTGGTAGGATTATCTCTAGGGGAAAGAGGCAGTTGATTCATCAGGCCCATCCATCCTGAGACTGGAAGGCAAGCCCTCTTACTTGTTTGCAACTCAGTTTTCTTCCAATGTCATTCTACTGAAACAAATTCAGGCAATTTAGCTCTTTGTCCAGTAGACCTATATTAACACAGAAACACATGTGCAAGGACTGGGCTGATAGTTTACTGAGCTTTACTATAAATAGATGCCCAGGATAACATTTTTTAAAACAGTATTTATTTTTATATTGAAGTAGCAGGCAAAAAAATAAACAGAGAAGGGGAAAATGGAATAAATTAAAAGATATTTTCATGTGAAATTATACCTTATTCACTGGTTTTATTTGTATCTGGTAGGAAAATCTCCATATGCTTTTGGTAATCTGTAGATTGGGCTACAACTCTGATGCTAAAGAGGTACACAATGAGTTGTACAATTTCCAGTGACTTAAGGCTCAGCTTGCCCTAGGCTATATGCCCAAAACATAAGTATAAACCTTCACTGACTCATTATAAAATTCTCCTGGTTTGGCCAGTGGGGTGCACCCTAAAAAGTCTTGGCCTTTATATACCTGTGAGGTGCAAGACAGCTACACATGCAAGACGTGTATAGTTCTGCAATACTCTCCCTGAAGCCTTTCTCTGAGTTTGCACTGCTTCAGCCTTGCACCAAGAGCCAGGGCACAGCTTTCTGTCTCCTGGTACCCTGCAATCTGCTGCCTCTCAGGTGACTGTCTCCATCACATGGGTGGCTCAGCATGACCCAGGTTGCTTGCAGCACACTCACCAGTATCACTGCTCTCAGCCTCCATTGTGAGCTCTGCACGTTACGTATGTGTGTGACCATGTACTGGGGGCTACTTGCTGAGGTGTCAGGTGCCCTGCTCTCCCAGCATAGGCATGGGCAGGATCATTTGTCTGAACACTTCAAAACAACCTCCGCAGGAAAAAGTGTTTGAATCACTTGGAAATGCCCAGTATTCATAGCCTGGGGGCAGAAACCAGCTCCAGTGACTCAAAGACCCAGAGCAGTTATGCATATGCTACAGGAAGATACAGGGGAAGACACTTCATTCTGGGGAAGTCATCAGGCACTTTCCTGACACTTGAGGAAGCAGCAGTAGAGAGAAGTATGCTTTTACAGAAGAGGATTCTCAAATGCTTTCTTCCACTTCTCTCACACGCTTGTTTCCTTTTTCCACTGCAGTCAACAGAGAGTCTCATAAGCAATGATCTCAGTCAGCTGCAGATGTTTGCCTCTGATAATGTATTTACATTGCATTCATTTCTTGTAAGGACATGTTGTCTTTCTCACCATAAATATATTTAGTAGGACTGATATTCTGAGTGGCTAAAAATTTGCTCTTGCATCCTCTTCTGAACTCTCTGGTCTTTGAGAATCAGCTCTTGAATATGTTCTTACTACTACTTCTTCCAATATCTCCTTTCAGCTTTAGGAGTTCTCAGTGGCAAGTGGTCTCTGGATCTGTCTCCTGAAGTGTGGTTTCTGTGTCTATCTCCTGCTTTGGATCACAAAGACCTTCCCTTGTCTGATCCACCTTTCCCAGTTGAACTAGCTGTCCTTTACCCCTAAGCCCTTTTGCTATGGCTTGTCTGTCTTAATGGAGGATGCAATGTGGCTTGAATACAGTGCTGCTGCAGTGCACCCAAAATCCTGAGAAAAGGAAAGTTGTGCTAGCTTTGAGATGCCAACAACTCATCTGCAGGGCCTTGAATCCAGTGCTGGACCTGACTACCACTGCCTTGCAGAGACCAGTGCCGCCTCAGGAGAAATGTTTGCCCTCCAGCTGGACTGTGTTCCTGTAAAAGCAGTAATCTGTGTCAAAGTGAGCTAAACAAAGCAATCAGAAGATAAAATGAAAACTGTCATTCTTTGACATACCATACAGCTCAATAAGAATGCAGAATAGCTGTAAGCTAAATGAGCCACCTAATAATTTTTCATGTTGTCCTTTTTACAGACTTCACAATAGTGTTAAACTGTGGCTCTTGTCTGGCAATTAAATGGTTAGTGCTGGTAAAGTATTTCTGCCATTTAAAAATGAGTTTTTCATACTCTCTTGAAAAACAAACACAATAAACTGTAACTGGTAACTGCTTTTGGAATGTGAGTTGCTTTCTAAGTCTTGAGAAAACAAAACACAATCTCCAGACCCCACTCCCAAAGAAGCAAAAAAATGAAACAAACTTGCATTTTACATGCATTTTTTTAGAGAATAAGTTTTGCTTATTATTCTTTCCACTTCATCTAGAAATATAAGTTACTGCATACTTTAAAAATTAAATGGAAAAAACCCAAACCACAAACCAAAAGCCCCTCCAAACAATTCAGGCAAACCCTGTTCTCATTGTCGCCTGGCTGCTTAGGTTTAGAAAAGAAGATATTGGCAAGTGAAGAAGCTAAAGTTTTCTCTTTTTAAAGCACTTTATCTTCTTCCATTTTTGTTATGATTTCAGGCAAGTGTACAAGAACTATTTCCTGGACTTTCTTAGAATTGCTAAAACTTGTTCCTCTGCCCTTCACTCCTCAAACAAGACCTGCTTCATGCCCTACATTGAATGCATCTTACTTTGACAAACGTTTTCCTTGCCTTCTCTTCTTGGACTTGAAGATGCATATAACACACAGGAGCCATGGTGCAAGGAAATGAGGAAACGCTCTCTTTACTACTGTTTCAAAATGAAGATTAAAATACCCTCCCCATCCCTTAGGACAAAATGGCTGTGGCAGTGCAGGCTGCTGCATGGCCTAGGTGCCCAGGCATACTGAAGGAACTGCCACAGGCTGTTTCTGCCTAGAGATGGGAAGAGCAAGAGGATCTTCACCTCTTTTCTCTTGCCTCCACTTCAGCCTCCTCAAACTTGCCAGCTTTCTACTCTATTTTCCAGCCTCCTAAAGAACAGTACTTAATTAGCTAATCTCATGTGTCCATTTCTGTTCTGTACTGCAGGTGGTTTCACAGCACAAATCTCATCAGGAGGATATCACGGTAGCAGTGCCACCCTTACATCATGCATTAAATAAGCATCACAGAGATCAAAAGGATAAACAGGCAATAAATATTTGTTTCTATATTTGCTTTACTGTTTTCAAACTCCTATCTACCAACACAAGGTTTAACAATTGCTTTATTATTATTACTGTTACTATTGTCACTATTATATATGAAATTCTAATCTACCATAAGGACCCTGAGCATATTATGGTTCTAATAATGGTACCACCCATACTGGAACTCTTAATAGAGTACTGTGAGCTCATGAGACTGTAAAGAAATGCTGGCTTTCAGCATGTTTATAATATTTCTTCCTGAAGATGAATTGCCTAAGGAAGAAAATACAAGGAAGCTAAATTTGCTGTTTTGTTTAAACATAAAATGTGCAGGGAACACTACTGTTACGGCCAAGTTAAACACCCTTTAACAAGTCAAGCAAGTGTAAGGACCTCAGGCCACCTTTCAACTGAGGAAACTTCTTTGCTGGCATCAGTGTAGTATAGCTGTGTAGTATTGTTCCATAAAGTCTCAAATTCGCTTTCTGGCATTCATGGTGCTAATGCAAGATAAGGATTAATGAGTATTTATACCTTGCTGGCTTATGGTAGTTTCTCCAAACTGCTGAAATATAACAGAAATGCAGCCTCTTGTCTGAGGGTTTACAAGGGTTGGTGTTTATCTCAATTGCTTGTCAGAGCTCACAGCATATTTCTTAGGTGTTAGAGATGGTAGCTAAAACAAGGATAAAAGCAGCAATTTAAGTCAAAAGACAGTGGGAAGAAGATGAACTTCTAATGATGGATTTATTGCTATCTTTTTGTTTTGGTTTAGGCCCTTCCTTAACATGAGGTAAGCTATAGCCTTCATTTTAGTTAGCGCTGAAGACAGGGCTGCTTGTCAGAGAGAGCTCCTAAGAGAAGTTACTGGCAGCTTTGGACTTGTGTGCAGAACTATCCCTAGGAAAGACACTGTTGAAGTCATGGTGGTCCTTGGATGACCTCTGTCAGCCTGGGTTGAAAACTGTACTGTTCAGACAGGACAGAAACCAGGGCCTGGGCCAGGAGCCTGACTTAGGTACATCTGTGAGCATGCAGTTACGCCCAGTGACTGTGAAACTGAAGTTCACTTCCTCTTATGATTTCAGCTGTAAGGACTGGTGTCGCTTCCCACAGCTGGTTTCTTGGCTCACCCTCTGGCAGTGGCCCAATACCAGCAGTGTATTCTAACACGTCACCAGGGGTTGTCATCAGAAATTTTGGGAGAAAAACCCACCAGCATTGCTCATTATAATCTTTCAGATGTCAGAGTGCTGAGCAGCAAGGCTTAAAAGAGAACAGCAGCAAGGAAAGAGTGGTTGTTCATCATGACTGATAATAGTGCAGATCCCAGCTTCAGTTTCATGGACTTGTAATACATCCATGAATCCATCCAGTAAATAAAATACCTAACATTTTTGCATGTTGCACTATTTCAAATTCATGAGACCGTCATCTTTTCTTCACCAAATCCTACCTTTTCATGCTGTCTGCCACACAAATGATCCTGAAGTGGCTTGTAATTACCCAGGTCTCTGTGGTGACTAGGTCATGTAATCCCACCTAACTTCACTGTCACAGTATATCACCTTTCCCTTGCCTGCTATTTAATTTTATTTAAGTTTTATTTAGTCTGTTTATTTCACTTACTTAGGTTCCTTTAACTATTTACCTGCTGCTTGTTGTCTGTATCTTGGGTTATAAAATCAGGACAGGGGAAAGTCAGCTTCCTGGTGAGTTGTAGACTGCTACTGACCATAGAATCATAGTTAGGTTTGGAAAGGGCTTTAAGATCATCTAGTTCCAACCCCCACATGGGCAGGAACACCTCACACTAGATCATGTCGCCCAAACCTCTGTCCAGCCTGGCCTTGAAGACTTCCAGCAATGGAGCATTTACCACTTCTTTAGGCAACCTGTTCCAGTGACTGTGAGATTTACTTCTGGCAGAGGTCTTCAGACTGTTATGTAACATAAGATGGTGAAAAGAAAACCACTATGTAGGTTGATCTGAAGGGTTTATGGAAAATTAACATTTCCTAAAAGATGAGCAGGACAGCCTAAAAGTCTTTAAAACTCCTTTAACTTGTGTTTTGATTTAGTACCCAGGTACAATTCATTGCTCTGCAGAACCACTTAAGTAAATCAGACAGAAGAGAGCAATTGGATAACATCCTACCTTCACAATGTCTGTCTTGGGAATGAGACTTATTTTCTTTTGACTCCATGAGATGAAAGCTTAAAAAGCTTTCATCAAAAATGAGATGAAAGCTTGCTTCATTGCTTGTGGTCATTCTCAGAAAAGACAACACATGATTTATTTATCCCCTTTTCTGAGAGAACTTCCCCTAAAACCACCACAGACTATAGGGCTGTGGTGATAGGATTTTTTTTTACCTCATTTTTCTTTTTTTCCTATGGAAAAGCTGGTGATGTAGGTCTGTACTACTATCAGTTTAGACTACTGTACATGTCAGAAGGCTCAGTGTGGTTCACCACCCTGCTTTGCTACGACCATGCTACAGGAGCTGCCGTAGAAATATCAGTGCCAAAGAAGACATCACAAAAAGGAAAATAATGTCTTCTGTACTCCTATTTCTGCTGTACAGTCCAAATCCATACTGGCTACACAAGACAACATGAGGTGTCTTTTTATAAGCAATCACCTTATTCCCAAATTTTAAGACTGTCTGGAGGGGAGGGTGAAGACAACAGCCCAAATCCCAGGTTTCCCTGACTCACTGCTGCGTCGTGGCTGTGTCCTCCAGCTGCTTCCAAGTAATATTTTCTGCTGAGTCACAGTATTACAAGGCATTTTCTCTTTATGATTAATCCCTTTACCCCAGAGAAGACGCAAATGTGCTTCTGGTTTCTGTTTTCTCTCGCACTGGGGAAAGTTCCTGGGTCATGGAAAATGTGGGTTCTCCTCCCTTTTGTGTCACATCCCACTTTTTCCTGGCTCCTGCTCACACCCAGCCTTATCTCTGGGGTATGGAAATCACCACAGCTGCCTTAGGAAACCTTCAGTTATCCCACTTACTATCCATCTTACTAATCAGCCTCTGTCAGAGGATGGCTGTAAATGCTTTTTATGGGGATTTTCTTCAGCGTGAACTGCTGTAGTTGCAAAGTACTTGTAGTACTCCTACTGCCTTTGCTGCTCTTACTGGATGTTGCAACCGCTTGCACAGCCAGTTTCCACACAGTGTCACATGTTAAACCACTCTTGACATCAGCAGATAAGCTTGTCGGGGTCTGCAACCCAGCCCCAACTGAGCACAAACAGATCCTGAGCTGTGCTTTCTCTCTCGATTGTTATGAAACATTTTGGACTCCATCTAATATCCGTAGGCTGACTTCACGTCATCTGCAGAGCAAGGCCACTAAGGAGCATGTTGACTTCCAAAGGCACGGAACTAGAGGCACCTATTTTCAGCAATAGCAAACAGTATGTGCTGAAGCAGGTTGTATTCAAAAGCAAACCAGGTGCCAAGATGGGGCAGTGATTTATTTTTCTATTTGCCTGTGTTTCAGAGAGATAACTGTTGGTGTTTTATTTTTCTTGGCCAAGATCTTGTGAAAAGCCTATCCAGTGAAATCCGTGAGCTCGCGCCTAAAAAGATAGCATATGCTCAAGACATCAATGGGCGTCAAGCACCCAAAGCCACTACAGCTTGGCTAAAAGATGCAGTCTACAGGCCTGTGTTTCTGGAAGGTGTTGTCACTTCTGACACCAGAGGGGGAAGGCAAAGTCACTATCATTTAGAATCCTGTGGTCATGGCTTGATTAAAAGTTAAAAAAATGCAGAGCAGTACAAGTAGTATTTCATATACACATTGGGGAGCCAGCACAATCCCTGATTTCCTTTGTACAAAGCTGGTGTCACAATTGCACTTTTGTCATATTTATCTCATCCCCTGTTCCCTGCAGCTGGCCAGTCCTGACACAAGGCACAGCTGTCACAACAGTGCTGCTAACAGAAGGTTAGGATGAATGGAAGTCTAGATGTGAGCTGAATCTACTGTATCTGAGGTCTGGAGTAAAGTTAGCTTGTCAGGAAGGAGGGGGGACCATGAATGGAATTTGGCAATTATTGTTGTGAAATTTCCAAATATCCTAAACATGGAGAGAAGAAGAAACAGATTTGATTTTTTTAACTTTTTTTTTTTTTTATATATTAGAGTGCCCTTGCCAAACATTGGATGTCAGAATCACAGAACCATAAAGTTGTTTAAGTTGGAAAAAACTTTCAAGATCATGAAGTCCAGCCATTAAGATATCACTGCCAAGTCCACCACTAAACTGTGTCCCTAAGTGCCACATCTACATGTATTTTAAATACCTCCAATGATGATGACTCCACCACTTCCCTGGGCAGCCTGTTCCAATGCTTGACAATCCTTTCAGTGAAGAAATTTCTCCTAATATCCAACCTAAACCTTCCCCGGCACAACTTTAGGCCATTTCCTCTTGTCCTATCACTTCTTCCTTAGGAGAAAATACCAACCCCACCCCCCCTCATTCTCCTTTCAGGTAGTTGTAGAGACCGATGAGGTCCTCCTGAGCCTCCTCTTCTCCAGAGTAAACAACCCTAGTTCCCTCAGCCATTCCTCATCAGACTTGTGCTCTTGACCCTTCACCAGCTCTATTGCCCTTCTCTGGACCCACTCCAGCACCTCAATGTCTTTCCTGTACTAAGGAGCCCAGAACTGAACTAAATAGTGCAGGTGCGGCCTTACCAGTGCCCAGGACAAGGGGTTGATCACTTCCCTAGTCCTGCTGGCCACACTATTTCTGATACAAACCAGGATGCTTTTGGCTACCAGGGCACAATGCTGGCTCATATTCAGCCAGCTGTCTACCACAGTAGCTTTCCAGCCACTCTTCCCCAATCCTGTAGCATTGCATGGGGTTGTTGTGACCCAAGGGCAGGACCTGGCATTGAGGCTTGTTGAATCTCATACCATTGGCATCAGCCCATTGATCCAGCCTGTCCAGATCCCTCTGCAGAGCCTCCCTATTCTCCAGCAGATCAACACTCCTGCCCAACTTGGTGTTGTCCGCAAACTTACTGAGGGTGCACTTGATAAATATATTAAACAGACCTGCCCCCAATACTGAACCCTGGGGAACTCCACTTTTGACTGGCCATTAATTATTTCCAGATTCAAGAACTTCAAATAAATGAACTAGTGTAAGATGTCATTGGAAGAGGTGTTGAATGAACAGAAGTTCCCCAGGCAGCCTGGCATTGCAGCAAGATGTGATGCCACTGCATAAGCTTACACAGTTCTGCTCAAAGAGCTGCTACTGCTTTCAGTTCCTGTTATATTTCAAGAAAACTCACTCAGTCTCCCTGAAAGTGACTGAAATGGTTTCATTCTCATTACTTTGCAGATGTCCGTGTCAGAGGAAAAAGGGAAGGTGAAGGGCCATCCCTTGAGCAGAAACCAGATGTAGCTGCTGAGAATAAAATAGAGAAGCCACAAGCCTTGCAGATGGCTGAAGTCCTGAAGGCATTTCCCATATTTCCAAGAAGTTGGTGAAGAGGAGAAAAGGAATGTTATCCCCTTACCTCCCTTCCCAGTTTCCTCAGCTCTTTGATCTGATTTTTCATGGACTAAAGATGATTCACTGAGTAACTGACCCAAATGTGTTCAGTGCTTCTTGAGAGCTGTGTCCAGTGTAACAGCAAGCCATAAGGGCAAATGCAGAAGTGATGGCAGTGACTTCTCTCAGAGAGAGGGCAAGAACAGTTGTTTGAATCTTTCCAGGATTGTGCAGGGTTCTCTCCTGCTTCTTTTTTTTGTGAGAGACTGTGATGAACTGGGGTTCCTACTGTATGTGACAAAACAGTACTGCCCAGCTGACTGTGGCTGCTAGCTGTAGCAATATTACAATGATTAATCAAACCAGCAGTCCCTAGTAGATTAACTACAGCCATTCACTTCATTGGACAAGCATTGTACAGGAATTCAGAATGCAAACTATATTGTCTAAACACACCTAATGGATTAGCATTAAAGCTCACATGAAAATCCTTGAGGTCAAATGCTAATTTTGAATGCCTACATTAACTACTTATTTGCATGTTCAAAAGTATTTAACTGATGTTTTGCATCAACATGTCTTTACCAATAATTCAAGACATGTGACAATTTATATGTCTAGAGTTACAATTAAAAGTAAGAAAACTCAGACCTGGTGGTTAATTGTAAAATGCAGTGAACCCGAACTGAAGGGTAATTCATTGGCTGTTTTCTACTGATGGTGTTTCAATGGCCAACTTAAAGATATTGATGCTTCATCAACTGAATGAGAATATGCAGATTTTTCCCAGATCATATAAGCTAAGAGAGATCCCATCACAACTCTAATCAGAACAGCAGCAGAGCACATTGCAATTACACAGCTGTTTTTTCTCAGCACCACCCAGAGCGAGACCCATTACAATTGGATTCATTACAAAACCACTCTTCTCTAATATTTACAGCACTCTGTTATAACTGACCATCAGATGTCTGGAGTTTAAACACATATTCATTAGGATTGTGGTAGGCATTCTGTGATAGCTCTAAGTGTTATGCTCCATTCCTCCAGCTTCAGGGTTTGCTATGAGCTGCACTTGCTCCATACAGCCTTTAAAAGATACTGAGCTTTGTGAATTTTTCCTGTTAATATAGACTGTATCTCAGACAAGTGGAGTTTTAATAAGTTTCCAAGTCTTTCAGGCTAGAAGTGGAGGTGGCACTCTCTGAAAGAAGTTACAGAAATTAAACTTGGAACATATTTAGCCTATATTGGAGCTTGAGGCTTGCAGGCACCATCATATTCCTCTCTACAGCTGTGTATTTAGAAGCTGTTGAAAGTTAAGTTTTCTTACTTTTTTTAAAATGATTTTGCAGCAATGTAACTGGGTCATAGACACCAGCAAAAGCTGGACAGGATCCTCCAAGTGCTTTGGATATTTTTGGAAGAATATGGTACATGGCTGTTTCCTGTAAGTGTGACTGGTTGCTTCATCCCAGTATCACTTCTTCCAGCCTCCCTTTTATCTCCTTACCACATATTGCAGTATGTAACCACAGCTTCTCAGGCTGATTTTGGGGCTGTGAACCTTTCAGCAAAGAACATTATTCTGTTCATCGTTTCCCTCAACCTAATTTCTTTGTACGTGCAGGAGTGCCTAGCATTAGCACTGGCTGGCCTCATGTCATCATTGCTGGTCTTTGCTGCTGAAGCATTAACATTTCTGTCCTTATGGGTAATTCTCACTGAGAAAATCTGGCTGCTTCTTCTTCTTCTTGGCCAACAACAAGGGTTAATTGAAAAATAAATTTGGTAAAGCATATTCTGGAGCAAGAGGGCTGAGAAGGTGCTGGTTGCCCAGCACTGGTCAAGGATGTGAAACTTCCCCAGTTCTCATTTCAGCTCAGTAATACTTGCCAGGGTTTTGACTACATACACCAGCAGCAGAAATTTCTGAGATAAACTGGCCTGACTCACTGCTATCAATTTGACTGCTGATGCTATTGCTGGATTTCCTTGCGATCAGAGATCACAGCCTCTAAACAGTGCAGCTTCCCAGCAGTATGGTGTAGGAAAGAATCTAGTCACTAAGCCTTTTATAATGTTTGGCTTAATATCAGTTGATATGAAAAACAACTAACATACACAAGCATCCCCCCTGAAATAGGATGACCTTTTCTTGCAGCGGGCTGAAAGCTGTGTACTCTTTTCACATCTCCCTGTTTGACCACTGTGCTTGTTTTTCAGTAGTGATGGGGACTGGCTCATCACAATATTTTTGCTTTTAATCAGGTTAAAAAATACAGCTTTATCCTGACTATTTTGATTCTCTCTTTAATTATCCTGAACATTGCTGTAACTGTGGCATAAAGCTGTGTTCTGAGCTACCTGTTCATCCATGCTTCATGTGCTAACGGGTGTTCTGCTCGGACCGTGCTGTCTGTGTCAGGCTGTGAGGTCAGACATGAGCTATTTCCCACAATCAACTTGATGTGCTGATCTGCATGTAGCAGCTGTTAATAGCCTGATTCACACATCTCTTTGGCAAAAAAACCCAAATGCGTGGCTTTTGTAAATTGGACACTTTTTTCTCTTTAGAAGGAGAGAAAGTGAAACCCATTGAGAGTTGGTGAGTGATATTGGATAATGAGACAGATTGCCGAACTGTCCCATTACTATGAGATAAAATAATGCAAGAATCACCCTTGGGCTGACTGTGGAAAAAATAATGACAACAGAATAAAGTGCATTTGCAACACAGAATACAGTATTAGTCATCTAGAAACATGGTGCATGTGTGCCTTTTCTGGAAGGGGAGTTCAGCACTTTTTGCAGAGAAATGAAGGCCAAGAATGCTACATTTTCACACTCTGAAGAAGAGTGTGAAGAGAAGATCACACTAACACTCTTTGACCTCTACTTAGCATACTGAGCTGCCAGTTCTTTGCTTTTGAGGCCCTGGGGATGGTGGTTATGGGAAACTGAGGGCAGTAACAAAAAGACCCCACATCGGAGATTTTTGCAGTAAATGTAGTGACTAAGGTCATTGTGTTTGAAGTAGCTATCTTGAGCATCTTCTGGCAGTATATTCATGGCAGCACAAGGTTCACTAGAAAGTGCAAAACTTTCCTAGAATTCTGGGGAATTGAGTACTTATCCTAAATTCAGTATTGCCATGATTAATTTAAAAGCTTAGGTATAACAGGATATAACTATCTGAAATATCAAACTTGCCTTGTTGGATTTAAGGTTTGACTCTAGCCCTAGGTGTTATGTTTAAAAAAAAAGCTGCTGCAATAGAATGGCAATACTACATGTAGTCTTTCCTTCAGGCGGGGAATGGAGAAACACTTGACAATATCCTCTTTGTGGGAATTTACAGTTGTTCTTTAGTACTGATGGTATTTTGTATCAACATTGATGGACAAAATGAAGGGATATGAAATGCACTGATGACTAAACTGCAGAAGACTACAGGCAGAAAGGCTAGTGAAACCAGCAGCCATTTTCGTGTAAGGTTTAATTTATTTCTCTGCTACAGAGCTGGGCAGAGAGTCCTTGTGAGCAGTTCAGTTTCATTTTCGCCAATATACGTACGTATTTTCTCCAGAATGTACGGCTCATTCACCCTACATCTCCTGGGAAGGCAGGGGAGCTCTCTGTAGGACAGCCACCAGATACTCCCATGACCATGCCTGCTCTCCATGAGCTCTGCAGTGCCTCTGCATCAAGAGAAGTGCATGGGGAGACAGGGGAGGTGGCAGTGATGGGACAGGGATGAGTGGGGAAGGCTGTCAAAGACAGCAGTAGATGAAGGGCATGGGATTACAGTCACAGTTTGGGGAAATGGTAAAGCACCTGCAAGGTGGTGAGTTTCTTCACTGTACCAAAGCTGTACCAGATAAATTTTTAGGACCATCTGGTGTACAAGGAACGTAAAATGGTCCTTGATATAGTGTGGAAACAACTATCCCCAAATGAGTTACTTAAGTTGAAAAACTACTTATTTTTTGGCAGTGGATAATTGCTTGGATGAAAACGTAAAAAAAAAAAAAAAAAAAAAAGTTTATCAGCCTTTTGGAATATTTCACATTTCTTAGGAATGGCGTGGGTTTTCTGGATCAACAGAGTAGGATTTTTTAAATAGCATCACGGATTCCTACTATCTTTCTAACAGCTAATCAGTAGTTTTACACCAGGATGAGTTCTTTTTATCAAATGTCTATGAGGTCCTCTTTGATTGCTCACTGGTAACTTCCTAGGAAGTCCTAAAAATAAAGAATATTTCCCAAGTGTTCTGTAAACAGCAGAACTTATTGTTGGCCAAAATGTTTGGAACATTTTTCTTACCTTATCATATTTATGAATTATTTTTACTCTGTTACTTTGTACAATATCGCTACACCATCTGCCTAGTAATATTTTAGTAAGAGTCTTCATTCTATAAATATGCTTTAAACATCTTGTGAATCCCCTGGCTGCTAATTTTGATGAGCAAGATGCACACATCTGGCACTTAATCTTTGTGCAAAGTCCTACTTTGTAGTTCAGCATTACGTTCAGTGTTTAATAGACTCCATATTCTTCCTTCTGCTCCAATACATAGAAATCCTATTGTGACTCTTGAATAAGATGCCCTGGCAAATATAACATATCAAGGAGGTGAGATATTGTATATAGAAAATGAAACCTCCAGTTTATGTTTTGAAAAAGGTTTTGTGTCTTTGTTAGTGTTTATATAACACTAATAGGCAGTTTAGATATATTGTACTGAGTCTGATCTGTAAAAGTCTTATTAGTTGCTCTCTGACTGTGTTAAGGAAATGAGTTTGGAAGCAACAGGCAGAAGAGGAGGGGCAAATTCAGCTGTTATTGAGAAAGTGTAGTAACTGGTTAGTCTGGGAAATTATGCAGACATAACTTTAGGATAGACATGACAGCTGTGAATTGTGGTATTTGTTACCCACGTTCTCATGTTAGGGTATGTGTTATTAGGCTTGTTCATGAAATGATAGAATTAATAGCTTGCACAATCCATGCAATTTGTTCCTTTTAAATTCCCTCCCTTGAAGTCTCAATCATAGTGTGTTTCAGTAGGTCAACAGCAGAGGGTTTTTTCCTTCCTGGTATTTGTCTGAAGCTTCAAATAATGTTGGTTTAGTCCTTACAAACTGAAAGCAACCAATAGAAGTTGGACATATCTCTTGCCTCAAAGTTGTTAGACGACCCTGTGAAATCCCACACGTGCACGTCTGCCAAGTGGAGAGGGAAAGCAAAATGAAGGAAGGAGAGTCACCACTATACTGTACAGCCAGCTGGCAGGAGGTGCATCAGCAAAATGACTCTTTTGACACAAACAAGTAGGACACTGTGGGGGGCCATGAACAAATAATTAAGCTTATTTCTCTTCAGGGCTTTGTTCACTGCTGGAAATTATATCTAAAATGGAAGAAGCAGATTAGGAATGAGGTCTGAGGGGACACTGAAAATTTGCTCATACTGTAACCACCTTTGCTGAAAGTGAAGTCCCCAAGGGTTAATTTGCTTCTGCAGAATTGTCTCAACACTTTGAGAAAACAAAACAATGAAACTATGTTGAAAACTTTTCTTTCTATAATCTTCTTGTTTAGGGTTAGTCTTTGTAATGTTTCAAAATGTCGTTTTCACTGAAATATTTTATATTCATTTAGGTACTAATTGTGCACTTCATACTAAGGATACAGCAGTTGCCCTCCAAGGTTTAGGATACAAAATGAAGGTGTTCAGACCTTTCCTCTCTGTCGAACCCTAAACCTAATTTTGAGAGGCAAGTTTAGTTCAAATCAAAAAAATAAATGGAGGACTTCAGCTTAAAGAATTTGTAGAGACCCATTAATTCTTATACTTGCTCAAAGACTGGGGTTTTTTGGCACTGAAGTTACCACCAGTAGGGAAGGATCCAGGCACAGTCCTTTTGTTATTTTCTGTACTCCAGGAGGTGAACCACTGGCAATGTCTTGGTTGCCATAAGAAGCCCCTATAGGCCACTGATAATCACCAGGCTTTAAAAGCTAAAGCAACAGCAGTGTTTCTAATTTTCTAGATACCTATAGCCAAAGTCATTGCAGTGTTCACCACTGTAGCAAAGAAACTGTGGTATCTGAAGGAATACAGTATCAGAGGGGAGGAGGGTTGATTTCTCTGCCATTAATTCATTTGTGTAGCTGAAACTGTCTTAAATAATTTTATTTCACAAATGAAGCAACTATTTGTGAAGGAAACATTTTATGAAAAATGTCACTGGTTTGTTATTTTTTTTTAGTCAATCTCTGGGTAGCCTCAGGAAAGGGACTTTGTTCTTCAGTTTCCCAGGAGAATAATATTAATGACAACTTTTGCCTCAGATAAATCAATATTTTTTAGGGTTTAGAAGGTAGTAGTAGAAATCCTGTTGTGGTTATCACCTCCCTACCATTCCCGGAGTAGAAAACTTCAGGAAAAATGCAAATAGTTACAGGTGAGAAAGGGATCATCTGTTGAACGAAGAGCCAAAGTACTGAGGAGTTGTCTCATCCCCTGAGCAGCACTCATCCCGGACTCTGCATGAGAGCAGAATCCCATGGAGAAAACAGTTTGTGTTCCTGGAAGTATAAGCAACCTCACAATGTATAAATGCAGGAGGAGCATGTTAAGTGAGCAATGTCCTTCTATCACATATATCTTTAAGTGGTATGTAATAATCATCATGGAGAGTAGCCATGGATTCAGAGTGGACAAACATTTATAGCTGTCTATAAATAATTTTATAAGGATATGTGCACATGTAATTTCACTTGAAGAATCACAGTCCCTTTACAAGTAAAGAAAATCCTTTGAAAACAATTGGAAGCTCTTTTTAAAAAATCCAAAAAACAAAAAGCCACAACAAGACAGTGATACCGGTTTCCATGTCCTTTTTAATGAATATGGAAAAACCTGATTCTTCTGTCCAAATACATCCCCTTTTTTCTCATTTCTTACCTCAGTTTTATGGAGCAGGTTGGCCAGGATTTTCCCCTTTTCTTCCAAAAGAAAACTGGAATTTTGGAGAGCAAATTATTAAGAAATTAGTATGTGTATCGTTCTTGTCGTAGCATGTTACATATAACTGAAAAATCTCCTTAGCAAAACCAGTCTATTATTCAAGCTGTCTTCATGATTTGTAGCTGTTTTTTTTTTTGTTAGCAATGACAATGCAGCATAGACATTTAACTGTTAGCATTTTCTATAAAAAAGAAAATCACTATACCTCATTAACAGGGTGAAAGGAGGTCCCATACTCTTTGTATGAGTGACACTGGGGTAATTGTCCCTAATGGCATGGGATTTGAAGGGGCATTTCCAGCTGTTTTATGTGCTCTTTCAATCTGCTCTCCTTAAAAGTCAGTGTCATGGCAAAACGAGGAAGATAAACAGTAAAATACAGTTATTATTTCTGCTGTTATTATTTCTCTTAAACAGATGACATCAAAGCAAGGGGGAGTAGGAAGTGTCCCACATTAGTCAATCTTGTAGATCAACAAAAGCTTTCTTCTATTGCAATACGAAAGCTGCAAACTTCCTTTAACCACAGTGTGATTTGCTAAATCCTTGTGCTCTTGCCACATACAAATGAATGGTATTGCAAAAGGTAGGACAGAAATTCTGGAAGTCTGATATCCTGTTTCACCTGGGGAGAGAAAAAGCATACTCATATAAGAAAATGAAAGCAAGTTATGTGGTAATGGATTCTGCAATTAGTTAAAGGAAGCAACAGTGAAGAAAAACCACAAGTCAGCCTAAAAAATTACCTGCCTGGTGTTCTGTTTTTGTTGAGATCTCTTATTCTAAAAGAAATTAAAAAAATGCCCATTATCTTGTCACATACCTAATTGCAGATGAGTTATACTGATTTGACAGACTACTCTAGCTGTCCCTAAGACTGCTACTCAAAATTGGATTTCTTTCTGGGAAATTTTGCTGTCCTAAACTTTATGCATTTTTAATTGTCTGAAATATTTGATCACAAAATTTTATTTTAAACTTTGATTTTTTATTTTTCCTCTATTTTAATCCATTGAAATGACTTTTCTTGTCTGGTAAAAATAAGAATTTTTCAGTTGTCCTTCTGAGACATGATATTCATAGATCAGTCTCTGATAGAGGAATAGCCTCTGCCTGCATCAGTGCATAAAGGGTATGCAGAGTGTGGACAAGGAACATGTGCAGGTACTAGAGATCATGTTTGCTGGTACTGAAGATATTTCTCTGCGCAGAAAATTCAAGACACTGCAACCCTGTTCCTGTGCTGCTTCTGGTGCCTGACTTGCATCGTGTATGGGCAGAGCTTTTGCACAATCTCTGTCTGGTGCCCTTGCCCTAGTTGAGCTCTGACTGCAACACCAGCAGAGATGCAGAATGGCGACTACCACTGCAAGCACTCTATTTTCCAGGTCTTTTCTGATCAGATTTAAAATTTCATAGTAACAGTTGTCTAGCTTTGCTCATACTCTGAAGGTCACTCATACAGTGACTAAGTTTACAGTAGAAAAAAGTGTTTATGTACCAATCAGAAGGAAACTAAACAGTGTTTAAAAACACAGAGCTAATAATGGCTGTTCAGAGTATCTATTTATGGAGGTGGAAAAAGAAAAACTGGTCACTATTGGTACAGACATAAAGCTAGACTGTGTTAACCAGTGACTTTTGCATTCAGGATTGTGGAATTTAATCTTAAATTTAATTCTTCTGCACTAATATCTTGTAGTGTTTAATGTAATACCTTGTGTTTAATGTAATGTAATGTAGTGTAATGTAATGTAATAGTAATGTAATGTAATGTACTGTTAAACACCATATGTTTCTCCAGTCTGTGGATGGTTAGTGAACATGGCCATGCTTTGAATAGAAATTAGTTATGTCTGTGCATTTAATGAGGTGTGCCCTAGTTCTTACTTGTCTGCAATGAACAGGTTTGAAAAACTTGGTAGGCAGCAGAAATTGTGCAGC